TTTTAGCCAAGAAACTGGCTACATTTCTTTGGGCTCTTTTTACCCTAACTGCCTAGCCAATTCCTACCTCCTATTCTTATCACACCATCCTCTAAAGAGGTTACCCAAATTGCCAATAGGGAATTGGGACGCAGACCGCTCTGGCTCGCTGGACAGGGACGCAGGGTGAGGCATTTGGCATACCCCTTCAGTGGGTCTGTCTAAAAGACTCCCTAATTGCATAACTCTTTTTTCTAGGGGGAAAAGAAAGTCCTTGAATAGTGACTAGAGATGTGAAGGAGAAGTAAAAGCAAGAGTAATTAGCATTATAAGTTATAGACAGGGAACTAGAAAAAAGTCAGAACATGACAATGTTCATATTTGTCTGTCAAGGCTGGACTCTAGAGTGATGAATTCAGGATTTGCTTTCAGGTATTTTGATAGCTGTTGGAGTGGTTAGAATCAGTGTCAGTTCCCTCTCAAAGGCTTCAAGATAACTGAGGGGTTGCTTGAGTGTATGTATGACCTGAGGGTATGCGCAGTGGAAAGTCTTTACTCAGCATGAGTCATACCTTCTCTTCCTAGGCTTCCCCAGATTGTATACTTTAGCACTCCCCAAATCCAGGAGGCCATGTATGATTAGGGCCAAATTACATACAGTTGGCTGGGAAGAGTGGTTGGATACTCCAGTGAGGGTCCAGTGACCTAGTTTGGCACTCTTAATGAATGAGCACAACTGTCAACAGGTCCAATTGTGATGATGTTTAGCGATCAGGCTCACCTGAAGTTGTGATGATGGTAGTTATTTGATGCAGAAGGAACTGTTGTACAGCATCATCTTATTAAAAGGACCTGGAATTTAAAAGGATTTGGTGCTAGGCTCCACATATGAGGGAGTCTGTTACTTCACTTAGTATAACAGTTTCTAGATCCATCCAAAAAACACTCATACACTTGAAAAGTAAAATTTTAAAAATAAAAAAATGTGTGTGGCACACACCTTTAATCTCAGCATTTGGGAGGGAGAGGCAGACGGATCTCCGAGTTTGAGGCCAGCATGGTCTACCTAGTGAGTTCCAGGACAGCTTGAGCTACAGAGAGACCCTGTCTCAAAAAAGACCCCCCCCCAAAAAAAACTATTTGTGTGTGTAGTGTACATGTATGAATGCGTGTGTGCACAAGTATGTTCGCAAGTGCATATACATGTGCACATATGTGGTCATTGATCCTCAATCACTTTTCAACTTATATTAATATATTGAGGCAAGTTCTTTCTCTTGAACCGAGAGCTTGCCAGTTGGATAGTCTAACTAGGCAGCTTGCTCCAGGGATCTCCTGTCTTCCTGCAAAGTGATGGGATTACAGGTAGGCTGCCATGCCTGCCCAGCATTTTACATGGGTAGTAGGGATCCAAACACTGGTCCTTAATGCTTATGTGGTAAAGTCTGTACCCATTGAACTATTTATCCAGCCCTTCCTAATCTGTTCTTTAAATTGCGTCCATGTGAGCAGAATAGATCAAGCCACCCCTGGTCAATGTGGAGGATTGATTGTAAGGAGAGGAGGAGGGTTGCTGGGGCCTGTCCACTGTCCTGATGGTGTTAAGTCTAATTCATGGGCTAGAATGATGAATTAGATTCAACACCATGGTCTTCAGGAACCCATTGGAATTTTCTTCATGAAAATGGGGCAGAGTTTTGAAAGGTTAATTTGAAGCACTTGATTTTCTGTCCAGATGGGATCACCTGTTACAGCTTCTGCTTTATGATTGTGGAGGTGGTTGCTTTTGGGGTGTGGACTTTATTCTAAAATACTTAACTGAATCATTGTATTAATTTTTCAATTTCTGTTTTTTATTTCTCCCTACTTACATAGTGTTGCACTAAATTTTCTTCCCTTTCCCCTTCTTGGGAGGCTCGAGGCCCCAAGGCTCACAGACTAACATAAGACATTTTTTGGGTTTTGTACTGTTTTATGACATTTGGGGGTGGAGGGTGACTTAAAAAGAAATGGCTCCTCTTAACCCCTTGCCATTTAAGCCCTGTGCACGCCTCACTTTCGTGTCCCATGCCCACATGCCATCTCACCCCCACGGTCTGCCTCATCTGCAAGATGTTATTGCCCCCCAGAGTTTGCCCAGGGCCCCACAGGCTGGCCTGGACTGCAAGCTCACTTCGCTCCCTGAGTTCCCCAAAATGGCCATGTATAGCAGCAGGGCTCCACCCGTCTTCCAGGGTGCTCCTTGTCTTGCCCCTGGCTCACTTACAGTTTTTGGAGGAATAAGTAATTTTCAGGCTACACATAGCCATGGATGATGCATAGACAGGTTTTTCAGACATACAGAAAAGTTGGAAGATGGACGACATATAAACATTTTTCAAACATACAAAGAAGTTGGAAGAAATGCATCATGAACACCATATACCATTTGCAGTTAATGCTTAAAACTTGGCTTAATCACATATGTTTATCCAGTGTTTTAGGTGTTTTGAATCATAAGCAAGTAAATTCAAAAGGATTTTGTTAAATGGACAGTGCTTCTACTTTTTGTTTTTCTCCCGAGTACTTGTATGACATTTGTTATTTTGATTCTACAATCTTTAATGTAAATGCAGAAAAGCTCACCTGTCAACAAAGTGTTTCTGTGTCATAAAGTGAACAACAGTGTTTTGAAATCCATCTATGTTTAGGTCTCTAGTTCTCTGGAATTCCCTGAAGTAGGAAGTAATACACTTGAGGCCATTAAATTCAAAGCCTCTAAGCTTTCTGCATTGGTTTCCAGAAACTCCTGCAGGTTCAACAGCTTTAATGTGTGTGATTCATGTTTCCATGTTGTGGGACTGCCATTAACTGGAAGACACATTGCTCTCCACTGATTTTAGATTCTCAGCTAAAAAATATTTTTTTTTGTCTTTTTGAGACAGGGTTTCCCTGTAGACTCAGCTGGCCTGGAACACACTATGTAGATCAGGCTGGCCTCGAACTCACAGAGATCTGCCTGCCTCAGCCTCCCAAGTGCTGAGATTAAAGGTGTGCACCGCCATGTTGTCCTCAGCCCCCCCCCCCCTTTTTTTAAAGATAGGAGATCTAATTATGTAACCCTGACTGGTCTTGAACTCACTGTGTAGACCAAGCTGACCTCGAACTCACAGAGGTCTGCCTGCCTCTTGTCTCCTGAGTGCTGAGATTAAAGACATGCTAATCTGCCTGGCTTAGCCTAATTTTAAAATGTGAAGTGTCTTTGTCAGAGGATTTCCAGTTCACTGCTAGTCTGGTCTACGTGGTGAGATCCTGTCTGAATAATTAATTATTAATTAATTAAATAACTGTAAAAGAAAGAAAACCACTAAACCTTGTATTAATTATGGGTATCTGATCTTAGACTTTTGGATAAAATAGGAGCTTCAAGTTATGGAATCCAAAATGCTTTAAAAACCAAAACTTTTGAGCAGTAGGAAATTGATGCTCTGGGGGCTGGAGAGGTGGCTCAGTGAAGAACAGTACTGACTGCTCTGGCAGAGGACCTGGGTTTGATTCCCAGTTGATAGTCATTCAGAAGTCCAGTTCCAGGGGATCCAGTACCCTCTTCTGGCCTCTACAGGCATTGCATGCACAGGTGCCCTTATATACATGCAGGCAAAGCACACATAAAATAAAAATAAATACAAAAAAGAAATGAAGGAAATAATGCTCTGAAGTTTCAGATTTCAGAGCACTGTGAATTTTCCAAGGTATGTTCTAAGGTAAGCATGAATAGTCTCAAATCTAGAAAGTCCGAAATCATGAATACTTTTAGTCCCAGGCATTTTGGGTAAGTGATGCCAACCTATAGCCACTGTTTTAGAAAAAGTAGTATATTGTTAAGTAACCCTTCCAGTCTTTTTGCTGTTCCTGTCTTGGCTACTTTTCCTTTGCAGCTAAACGACAGTTGTTATAAAATGGTCTTATTTCTTCCTGCCATCTTTTCTAGCTGAATTGCCCTTAATTGATTTGATGAAGTTGTATGAAGGTGCCTTTCTGCCAAATTTTCAGTGGCCACAACCTGAACCTGACCATGAAGACACAAGCGGGGAAGAGGGTATGTTTTTAGTGTTGTAAAAAATTCAGGTTTAAAGTGAAAACTAAAATAAATACCAATGAAAACTTAAAACAAGATATAAGAAATTACTTTTTTTTGCATTTGATGATTGGAAGTATTAGACCCAGGACAGGTCCCCTCAGGCCACATAAATTATAGCAGGGGCTTTGGGCTTTGGACTTGGGACAGGATAAGACCTTTGTGGAACTGTTCGCAAAGGATTAAAGAATTAGAGCCAGGATAAAAAAACATTGGAAGTATATTTAATATGCAGGTCTCCTATTGAATAAGTTTTAAACCCTATGGTGTTTTACTTACAACTTGATACATGTGTCAGAGCACTGGATAAATTGGGAAGTATGTGGAAATATTTTTCTTTGGATGTGTGTCATGGTTTATGGACCTAAGCATCTATCTTGTTTATTCAGGCTGTGCTGTGTTTGCTTATTATTACACAAGTTTTGAGTGGTTCGTTTTACTTATTAGAGATTCCAGCCAGATACACAGAATACACAGAATGCCAACTTGTCTTTTTCTCATTCTGCTTCTGATTATTAGACACATGCGCATGTGAGGTGGGGGCAGGAAGGCAAGGACTAGGAAAGGATGGGACAGTTTCTAGGAGGTTCCCTCATGGAATCCAGGGCCTTTCACTATCCCTTTCTGCAGTAGAACCAGAGTTGTAGACAAAGACCTCTTCATTGTTTCCAAACATGGGTGACATTGCTATTTTTTCCCTCTTTTGGTGATAGTAGAAGAGAGATCACAAAATCTCAGATTCCCCTATGTGTGTTCACAATATTGGCTCCCAGTCAATATAGCTGTTGCTTAAATACCAGACTGTTAGGGAAGTTATACTGGGTCCCAGATAGTCTTAATTTTGATCATTCCTAAGAATCATTGCTCATTTGTGGCATCGTGGTTATATAAAATAGATAGTAATGAAAAAAATGACTAATTCTGTATTCTTCCTATTTTTTTTTTTTAAATGTTTAGGTTCATAAAACTCACAACAATCCTAGTTCCACCTGTTTCATTGTTGTTCTAGATGTGGAAGACTACCACAGTGACAGGGAGAGCCGGAGGGACTTGGTTCTCATTGACTCGCTCTTTATCATGGATCAATTTAAAGCTGCAGAGCGAATGAGTATTGGGAAACCCAACACCAAGGACATCACAGAGGTTACTGCTGTGGCTGAAACTGTCCTCCCTAAGGGCAGTGCCCGGGTCACAACTGCGGTGAGAAATGCTTACTGCCTTCAAATAGGCTCTTTAAAAGTTGGAAGAAAGGCAGTTCTTGCTGTTCTTCTGTTCTCTATAGATCATTTGGGACTGTCTTGTATATGTGTTATGTGGCCTCTTGATTTTGGCTCTACAAATGTGTTTCAGTGATTACTTTGCTAAGCAGTCGTTCTTTGACTAGTCTGTCTGTCCTACAGGTGAAGTTTAGTGCTCCATCTTTGCTGTATGGCACCCTCCGAGACTATCAGAAAATTGGCCTGGATTGGCTGGCCAAGCTCTACCGGAAGAATCTCAATGGCATATTAGCTGATGAAGCTGGACTTGGGAAAACGGTGCAGATCATTGCTTTTTTTGCTCACCTTGCCTGTAACGAAGGTAAGAGTCTTAGGTTTCCACCAATAGTGTGTGTGCCAGAGTTGAGGGTAGAGACTGGTCTTCTTAGCCTGCTCTGCTCTTTTCTTTTGACCTGAGCCAGGAAATGACCCAGAAGCACTCATTGTAGTTGGGAGTGGTAGTGTACCCCTGTAGTACCAGCTCTTAGGAGGCTGAGACTGGAGGATTGCTTGAGTCTAGGAGTTTTTGAGACCAGCTTGGATAACATTATGAGAGTCTGTCCCCCACAATAGAAAATGCAAATACTTTTTGCATGAGGAAGGAAAAACTCATAATTAACATTGGATGAAATGATTCATGAATATTCAAAATACAGTATCCATAATGTGTGACTCAGCTTTATGACTGCAGTGGCAAGTGTTAACCTAGTATGTAGGCAGCAGAGTAAGGGGCATGGCTTCCTTGCTGCTTCTGGGCCAATCTGAATTAGTGCTAATTATGAGCTTGTGTGTTTATATAGAAGCCAGAGGTCAACAGGATGTTTCCTTTTTGTTTGTTTGTTTGTTTGTCTTTTTGAGACAGGGTCTCCCTATAGCCCCAGCTGTCCTGGAACTCACTATGTAGACCAGGCTGGCCTTGAACTCACAGAGATTTTTTTGTCTGTTTTGTTTTTATTGGATTAAGTATCTATTGCTTCATTATTGATAAATGCATACATAAAACTAGTAACTACATGACAATGGATAATTTCAACCATGCATTATTAGAATATTAGCATTTTAGAATCTGTTATGGGCCTGCCACTATTGCTTACACTTTCAACCAGGCCTGGCTTTTGATAAACATGCCAACCCCTTGATTCAGAAGAATTATGGAAAAAACAGTGATACATGCAAATTTTCAATAGAAAATTAAGTTAAATTCCTTAGAAATGAAATTGAGCGCTCAATATCTACTACAATGCTGCTTCAAAACAGGGAAACAAATCACACACAAAATGGCTAAAATTAGGACCTCTGTTTAGCTTTTAACAGTTTATCTGGAAATCCTAGTCCTTTAGGGTAAAGAATGATTTAAAAGCCTTGGGAAAAAAGAACTGAGATGACAGTCTCTATGGAGTCTTCTTGGCCACATATTGAAAGCTGTATCATCAAAGAGCATAGGTGGTGTAGGGGTGTGGTGAACATACTTAGGCAGAATGGTCTCTTTTCTGGTTCACATTAATGAACAGCTCTCTAGGGGAAAAGGAGTTAAGGAACAGAGCTAATACAATGCGAACTCAAGCAGTAATGCCCTGAAATTTAGCGTAACCCTCTGCATTTTAAAACTGTTGGCCAAGGGATTCTCCCCAAATGGTATAAAAGCCAAGCAATGTTCTGAATAAACTAGAAACAATTTACTTGCACCAACAGCACCATGAGAATGTAAACTCCTGAAGGTTAAGGGTCTCTTCATATTTTGCATATAACAGGTACATAAGAGTAAACATAAGAGGACAGTAAGTATGAATACTTATTAATCACATACTCTGAAACCACAAAATCTTGTAGCATATTTTAGCATTTAAAACTATCAGTGTGGCTATTAAGGGTAATCTCTGAAGTAACTGGCTGGAATTAGCCAAGTCCCCATCTTCATTCATTTATCTTAATATTGCTTCATTGTCCCTAACACAGACAGCACAGGACATTTAAAGAGAAACAATATTCAGTTTACCCTTTTCCCAACCCTTAGGCTTGCAATAAAAGAAATATTTAGAGAATCTTAGAACTGCAAAACTAATCTTTTACTTTTTCTTTCCCTGGGTAAACAAAGGAACACAGACCCAAATCTTTTCAGGAATCGTCAAAGTGCTAAGTAGCCAAGATAGACATGAGGTAAAAGTAGTGACAAGTCACCGTCATCCTAATTCCACCATTGTATCTTGACGGGAGCTATGTAGTTCCTCAGATGAAGAAACTAGTTTACTTTCTTCTCCTTGTTAAAAAAATAAAAGTCATACACAGGCCACGGGTTTCATTACATACACATTAAGACAGTCAGATAACCCAAGACTGGCTATAAATGCCCAGCCTTTTTGCTTACATTTAAACACTAAGTACCTTGAACATAAGCACGGGGTTATTTTGTTTTGTTTTGTTTTTTACAATCTAATCATATACATGACAAACTTTTCCTTTTTAAAAATGTAGTCAAGAAGCCAATGAATAAAAGTCACAAAGCGTATACCATTCAACATAGCAAGTGAATGACTACTGTTAATATAAACAACTTAGCCAAAACCCTACATGTTGATTTCACTGGGACTGTAGAGGTACATTTGCTTCCAGATTAAATGTTAGAAAGATTTTAATAGCTATAAACTTTAGAGAAACAAAATAGGGTCTTCAACACTTAACATACATAAAATTGGTATTTTTCACACAGATATATTCATATACATTCATAGTTTAAAAAAGAAAGTACCCTTTATATGCTCTTTAACCTAAAACATACTTTTCCTTTTGTGTTAAATTGCAGAGTCCCACAAAAAAGTAGTAATCACTTACTCAACTGTACAACTTTGTAAATGTAATATGCTATATATGCGAAATGGTTATTGCTACTAGAATTCTACCTCTTAAATAGTATTAGTTCATTTTATGGCTATTTCTTTTTTTTTTTGTAATAGAAAATATCCCTTCCTATATACTGTGCTGTTTTATATGCATTACCTTTTCAAGTTTCTTCTTAAATTTAAATGCTTTTCAGAAACAGATCCTCCCAGGCACTAAACTACTTGAGCTGAGTACAACTACTTTAAATATACAATGAGAATCTATACCTGGGTCCCTGGATATCTAATACTAGAATAAATCTACCTTGTTGTAAAGAAGATATGCCACATTAAAAATAGTTTCACGTTTCCTATCATACTAAATTCTAGACTCTCTCCTTTCTTCCTTCCCTTTTTTTTTTTTTTTGAGGACAGGGTGTCTTGTAGGCCAGGCTAACCTCCAAGTCACTAGGTAGCAGAACTCCTGAGCCTCCTGCTTCCATTCCCCAAATGCTAGGATTACAGGCATGCCACCATGCCAGGTAGGACTCTAATTTAAAAAAAGCAACAAAAACACTCCAGAAAACTACTACTTCCAAGTTTTCTGAGCAGCTTTTAGAGGTAGGAATTCCCTTTTACAAAAAACTTGTCTTTTTCAGAATGAAACAACTATTTTTATTTCCTTAAGGACTGTAGAAAAAAGTGAAAGTTGTCTGATAATTGCCAATGCAGAATCCACTTATTCCACAGCACCCTAAGCAGGCTCCATCAATTTGCATTACCAGTCCTCATGAAAAAATCTGTAATCTCATCAACATTCAATTTAGACTTGGCAACAGGAAGAGCCTATACCATAGATACTCCAAACTACCAACAATGTTCCTCAATTAACACATGCTGCAAACAGGAAATATAAGTGGGCAGCAGATTAAAGATTAGCTGAAGAAATCTCAGACATGCAAAATGTGAAATAATTTGTGGACATAATAAGGAAAATGAACCCAAGAAAATATGAAGATAGTATAAGAACAAGCTCACCTTAAACTATGAGAAATGCAGAACCATGAAATGAGGCCTCACTCTGAAGTTTGAAAATGGAAAAGGCAGCTATTTCTAGCTACCTTGTGGAAAGCTAACATCCTCAAGCACAATGTTTCTCTATGTGAACCCACATTTCTGTTCAGAAATGAGTTGTTTGGCTTTTATAATCTGTCCCCAGAGAGACTATCACAGATTCATATATGAAAAAAGTAAAGGTCTAGATTTTCCACTCTTTTTACATTATTGGTTATAATCAGTAATTCATCCTGAAGTTTAAAATTATACTAAGTTCTTGCACTAACCCCTAACATGGCACTACAATGTGCTATCAAGCACTAATGTTTACAAAACTATATATACCTCAAAATGGAAGACATTGGTGATTTTGTTGTTCTTAAACAACTTGTAATGTTTGTCCACAAGTATTAAAGTATACATACATATATATATTTGTATTGCACATAGCCCATTTTATTTAGTAACTTTTCAAAAGAAAAACTGCCAGCTTACATGGAGAAGGAAAGAGGCATAACTGCAGACAGAGGTACAGTTCTCCTATTAGAGTCTTTGTTATTAAGAAATCCAAAGTAAGACTAAAAATGGAAATGTACCACATACTGTGCAACTACACCTGGAATATACCCATGCTGGTAAATGCCATTGAGGTGTCAACTATGTGTGATGCACAAACAACTTCGAAAAGAGCATTGAACAGTTTCAGCTTTAAGCTAAAAATCTGAAGCATCTGGAGAAAGTGGGTCTGACGCCTGTTCAAGTGGGCCACAGCTGGTTTCACTGGTGCTGACAGCCACTGCCCAATAATTCTACCAAAAAAAAATTGCCCAAGGACAAGGGAAAGGTGGACGATACATCTGTATTGTGTTCTCACCCACCAATGGGCTTCATTGCTTCTAAATGAAAATATAAGGAAGTGGCTGAGAATACATAAACAGAAAAATTTAGGTTACATTTTTGTTTTAAGATGGGGCTCCTTCATAGTCCAGGCATTCTCCTGCCTCAGCCGCCCAAGTGCTGGAATTACAGGTGTGTGCCATTAAGCACAATAATTAGGTTACCTTTAACCAATTATTTCTCTACTTTATCACTAATTGCCCTCATTAAAAGGTTATTTTACTAACACCATGCTTTTTATGAAAAAAGTTTTTTTAATTTAAATTCAAATGTTGCCCAATCTGTCTAATCTTTAGAATGCTCAACATTCTCTATTTTTTATCATTTCTGACTCAAATTTTGGTAAATCTGCCTTATGTCCCCAGCATCACAGTACCTTACAGCTCTGGGCAACCATTCCAGAAAACAGAAATCAAACACTACCTATTCCTAATTTCATCCAGCAAGTTTCAAATTCTTTTTCTACTTACAAATAATTGTGAATAAATGCTTCCCTTGATGTAAAAACCCAACATCTCAGATAATGGATCCCTGCTGATTTGGAAGCAAGGAC